AAAAAAAAAAAAAACTTTACACACTAAGGCATCCTCTACTGCTGGACATTTAGGTAGTTTCTAATTGCTCAATATGAAAAGCTCTTTAAAGGGTCCTCTCCTCCCAATGTGGCCACAAAAGTGGCTCACAGAAGTTCCAAACCACCAACTAAACAAACTGGAAAACCAACTGAAAATTGATTTTGATCTAACTTCTGCCACTTCAGAAATCCTCTCATCATCTATCTGCCCACTTCAGACTGGCCTGTACCCTCCTCTTTGGGGTCATCTGGAACGCACTCTCAGAATCCTCTCCTTTTTCCTTCTCTCATACAATGTTCCCTGTTCCCTAGAGCACATCCTGATTGTGGGTGTATGGGGGAAGAAACTTCCCAAACCATCCCCAGCCCCCAACTGGTATTTCAAAAACACATGGGCCTTTATTTCGACAATTAAATTCCTGTTTCTGCAGAAACTGGGTCCAACTCAACTTCCAGCACTAGAAGCAACTTGGCTTGCAGCAGCATCCTCTCGACGGAGACAATGCATAGTTTCCCCTCTCCTTCAGAAAGCACTGTACACATCACAAGGGTTAATAGCCTAATTCTTTGCTATCTCCCCCCGAGCCACATTCATCACAAGACACCCTGCCCAGGATGGCAAGAATGAGAGGTTATTGTTAAGGCAGAATGAATGAGACAATGTGTGGTTCTGTTCTTCTGACCTGACAATGTGACCGAGGCAGGGGCGCTGTGACCAGGCAGGGGCACCGGCTGGCTACCCTGCCTCCTGGCACAGCTGCCTCTAAGGCTCAGGAGCCTTTCCTCCCAGAGCCCTCCCCTTCAGAAGCACCAGTGGGCGCTGATGAAGTCCGTGAGAAGTAGGACATTAGATCTGGTTCCTGGCTGTCCTTGTCTAGCCCAGGTAGCACTGAGACTGGAGTGAGGATCAGCTTTTTCTCTGCTAAAATATAAACTGTGGTAAGTTTCTGAGAATGAGGTGCCACAGCGAGGACACCAGATGCACAAGCAGCTTGGGAAACCTCAGTTGCTTCCATCCTAAATCATGAATCAGGCATTTGAGAAATTGTGAGTCACGGCATTTGCACACCAAGAACAGTAGCACACCCCGTTCCATCAGGAACTACACTGTGTCCCCCCAGTAACTGCATGGAAGGGGTGCTTCTCTGCAGGTGTATATGGACAGCACGTTTTCTCACAGAAGTGATTCAAATGCATACTGTACTTTCTGGAGAAATTATGTTTTGCAGAGTTGATGATGAAGACTTCTCTCAAAGACCAAAGCAAGAGTCAAAAGAAAAGGCCACAGAAGAAACTAGAATCCTTCTCTTCAGAGGTCAAAGGATTGTTCTACCCAGCAGCTCCTAACAGTAGGGTAAGGAGGTTCCAGGAAGTTCCTGGAGGTCAAGGAAAGGGCAAGGGCTTCTTTGTGGCACTCTGGACTTTCATTCAAAAAAAAAAAAAAAAAAACAAGAAACCCAGCTAAAAGAACCCCAAACACAAGATACAGTTTCAGGGAACATCTCAGACTCACTCTGCAGCCACCACCTGGGGGATGGGCTCGTCCAGTAGTTCCAGGCTGTGCAGGATCCAATAGCAGAGCCATGGGCGGCTGGCATCCAGACACTGTGACAGGAAGAAGGGAGAAAACACCCGTACTCAGAGTCAATCGGAGGCACTGCTGCAAGGGGGTGGAGGGCCCCTGTGAACAAGAATCAGTAAAGGAGGCTAAGCTGGGAGATCAAATGATCACAGAGAAGGCTAACAAGGCAAAGAACTTTACCTTGGACCTGGGGGTTCCTTCTCTGCAGGTGTCAGCAGAAGGCCTACCCGAGGACTTCTTATCAAGATCACCAAGTGCTGCCATGTCCTCAGTGTAGACCCAAGGAGATATGAGGCTGAGTCAAAAATTATCTGGCTGTAGAATTTACTTTAATCAACTTTTAGAAAAGACAAATACATCATTTTTTCAACATAATATCCTTGCTTTTCAATACACTTTGTCCATCTGTCAACAAACTTTCATATTCCCTTAATAAAAAATGTTTTAGACTTGAGCTGAGAGCCACAAATTCACCACTATCTTTCACTTCTTCATCAGAGGTGAATCTTCGTCCTTAAAGGGCTGCTTTCAGGGGACCAAACAGGTGACGGTTCAATCGAGCAGGATCAGGACTATGGGAGGATGCTTTAACACCTCCAAAGGTTTTTGCAGAGTGTCAACAGTGTGGACAGAGGTGTGAGGATGTGCACTGTCATGCAAGATCACTAATGCCTTTGGATAGCAGTCCTCTAGGTTTAATCCCAAGTTTAAACTTTAACTCTTCAGTGAACATCTCACTGTAATGAGCATTGTTGACTGTTGAACCTTTTTTCCTGTCAGTGTCCCAATACTGGCCCTTAAGAATTCCAGAAAACTATAAACATCAATTTTTCAGCTGACAGCTGACTTTTGACCTTTTTCTTGGTCGATGATTGAGGCTGCTTCCATCCCATAGTCTGCCATTTACTCTCAGGCTCGTAGTTAAGAATCCATGTCTCATCACCAGTAACGATTTTTTTTTAAAGGAACCTTTCTTTGCCTTCCTTCTAATATCGGTCCAAATTTTGTTTGCAGATGTCCAAACCCTTCTGTTTATACTCTCCCGTGAGTTGTTTTGATACCCATCTTGCACAAATTTTTCTAAACCCAAGTCTGTCGTGGATTATTTCCTAGGCAGAGCCATGGCTGATTTGCAAATGATTTGCCACATAATCCACTGTCACTCATCTATTCCACAGATTCATTTCATATGCACACTCAGTGTTGTTATCAGCTGAGCATTTTAATATAACTGGAGTGTGGATAATTTTTGACTCACCGTCAAATCACCTCAGGAACAGACTTCCTGGATGAACTCACTCACTGATTCCAGAAGTTTTTACTAAGTATGTACCTGTGTCAAGCAAGCACTGGGGGCATGATATCGAATACAACTGGGACCCTGTTGAGATGCTCAGGATGTAGATAGTGTTGTGACTATATAGATATTTTTGGTCTTCCTGAAATAAGACGGAGTAGATCACATACAAAGACATAACTGGGTGAGGGCTGTTAACAGGCAGTATAACTCACAGAAGACAGTAACTCCGACGGGAGCTGGAGAAGGTGTCCACAGGTGATATATGAACAGACCTTAATTTTAATCCATGCCAGAAATATTTATTGAACATTCAAGGCTAGGTAGGGCAGGTAGCATGACTATCCCAGTTTTACAGACTGTTGTTGTTAATTGCCATGAATCATTTCCAACTCATAGTGACCCTGTATAGGGTTTCCAAGGAGCGCCTGATGAGTTTGAACTGTTGACCTTGTGGTTCAAACCGACCCCATGGTGCTTCTCCTACAGTGCCACACCAGGACTTCAGAGTTTTAAGATTACAAGTCTATAAATGAGGTCCAGATGATAAAGACAGTAAATGAGGAGCATAGTGGCTCCATACAGTAAGCACTTGGCTGTGAACCAAAAAGTCTGCAGTTTGAGCTCGCCCGCTGCCCCACAGGAGAAAAATGAAGTTTCTGCTCCTGTGAAGATTTAAAGCCTCAGAAACCCTATACAGGGTGGCTGTGAGTTGGATAGCACAAATGTCAGCGCTAAGATCCCACCCAGTCCACCCACCCAGTTTGAGCTCTTTCCATGGGCTCAAGCGTCCGTCCATCTTCCTCAACACACTGTACATCCAGAGCTGAGGCAGTTTGCTAGCTCACCACCTGGGGGCAGTCTGCTGTGGGCACTGATGACAGAGCTATGGATTCGGCCTGCTTGAGTTTGAATCCCTGCTCCTCCTATCAGCTAAGTGCCTTTGGACAAACTACTTATCTTGCTAAGCCTGTTTCCTTATCCATAAAAAAAAATTAAAAACTTATCTCATATAGTACTTGTGAGGATTAAATTAGATAATGCACTTTAAGTTTTAGTTCCCGTTCCAATAAGTCATTCATTGTCTGGTAGTAATTTTTCTTAGGGCTGACTGGGCTCTAATCACTGATGACTTGAATCAAAGATTGGAAACTGAGAGCACACAAGCCTGATGTAACCATGGATGTGCTTTGCTTGCAATGTTTTGTTTGCTTATTTAGAATTAGTTACAACATCTCAGTACTAGAAAATTCACAGAAAAATCTGGACTCCTGGCTTTATTTGAAAAAAGAAGAGAAGATCTTGTCATTGTGGGTCTGTGTTTCTGCAGAGAACCAAGTGATGGGAACAGAGGAAAAGCCTGGGGCTTCCAGTTTGCCTCAGTTTCCAACCAGCCCACTTTATCTATTTATGCCCTACAGGCATCTGAGTTTGCAAACCCAGACTTACAGCCTCCTCCCCAAATAAGAAGCCAATGAAAAGCAGAGCTGATCTATGTGCAGTGAGGCATGAGGGCTGGATACCTCCCATTTCATTCCAGTCAGCCCCATTCCTCATACCGGAGGTCACTCTATGGAACAGAGTGCAAGCAGTACTCTCTGGGATTTCTACACTGGTCACCTGGGCAGTATAGAAATTAGATCAATAACAGGGCAAAGAAGCCCTAGTGTCACAACATTAAGTGCTTGAATGCTAATCAAATGGTTAGTGGTTCAAACCCACCAGTGGCTCCACGGAAGACCTGGTGATCTGCTTCTGTAAAGATTACAGCCTAGAAAACCTTCTGAGATAGTTCTATTATGTCACATGGAGTTGTTTCCATCAGACTTGACGCAACAGCATGTAACAAAGAGTTAGGGATATATGATATGAACAGAAAACTTCAGCTAGCTGTTAAGGGATGTTTGCCACTTTAAAGTAAAGGGACCCAGTTCCTGCCAGGGCCACATGGTCTACGGGATGAACCTGCCAACAGGTCAGGCTCCTCTGTCTTTCGGACTTGAACAGGGAAAAAAGAGAAGACTTGGCTAACGCTTGACAGAATGAGTTCCTGGGCAATGTGTTACCTCATAGGCATCTGTCAGCTGTCGAAGACCTCTTTTCAGATAATGGAAGTGCTTCTCCCTCTGCAAAATAAGCCTGGAAAGACAAAGAGCACGTAAGCCTATTCTCATAGTTTATGCTTCCAACCCTACAGAACACACATGCGCACACACGCTCTCAGCACATCCCCAGCAGTTACTGGATGGACACAGAGTAAACCTTTACCTCAAAGGGCAGCTAAACCAGGACAAAGAGCAGCATCCAAATCTCCAGAGTGTCTGAAAACCATGCTGGCAAAAAGTCACCTTCCACAGAATCTCCACTGAGTAGTAGCCAATCTGTCTAGGCGGGGCTGATGAAATGAAATGCAGATGGGTCTCTTGTGGTACAACAGTAAATAATTGTCATCAGGACTGCTTGTGAGGGTTGGAAATGTAAAGGTAGATGTTTTGTAGCAATGAGGGGAGTGATTAACATTTCAGCCTAGGAGTGGAGGTCCCTGGGATGATCAAGGAAGAACGGAGAGCGGGACCCCACCCAGAGTAGCAGTGATGCCAAAGATGGAGGCAGAGATGATGACGTGGAGAGATGGAGCAGTTGGGACTTTAGACACAGAGAGGGAGAGGGGCTGTGTATTGACGACCGGGGGGCAGGCTTGCAGTGTATATACCCTTTGGTTGGTTGATGATGCATGGAGGAGATTGTAACCATGGCAATGAAATGCTATACGATAGGATGAGTGTAAAGCTAATGTTCTCCCATGTAAACTATCACATAATTCACAATAAAACATTAAAAAAACAACAACAAAAAGTCACCTTCCAGACCTCAGTGAGCAGAAGTAGTAGTGACGACCTGCCAAGAAAGGTTCTCCAGGGCCTAACTATTCTCGAATAGCTTCTGGCTCCTCATCTTACAAACAGCTGCCACGTTTCTAAGCTTTGCCACTGCCCTGACTTGGTTACCTGCTGCCATTTCATAGCCAGTGCCTCTAGAATAACTTCTCCGATGCCTGAGTTTCTACTCTGCTCACCTGCCCCTCAGTTACCTTCCACATGCAGACCCACAGCTCCAGCCTGAGGATCATGTTTGTATCTGCGACCAGGTGCTCTCCTTGGCACTGATGCCAGCAAGACTAATTTTGAGATAGAACATGCCAACATGCCACCCATGACCACCTGCATGGGCAGTAGGAGAAGGTGCAGAAGCTGTGCATCTTGCTTGGTCCTGTAGGGAGGTGCCTATGTGGTCACCTGACAACACACTGTTGATTCCAACTTCTGGTGACCCTACAGGACAGAACAGAACCGCCCCACGGGGCTTCAGAGACTAAATCTTTATGGGAGCATATAGCCTCATCTTTCTCCCAAGGAGCGACTGGTGGTTTTGAACCACTGACCTTACAGTTAGCAACGCAGGACTTAATCCAAAGTGCCACCAGAGCTTCTTGTAAAGAAGAAAGATGCCTAGAATGCCAAGACATTCACTCTGTGCAGTGTTGTTGTTGTTAAGCGCCACCAAGTTGGTTCCGACTCACAGAGAACCTGTATACTGTTTCCAAAGCTGTAAATCTAAGGGAGCAGAAAGCTTCATCTGCTTCTTGTGGAGCAAGTGGTGGGCTTGAACTGCTGACTTTATGGTTCACAGTCTAGTGCTTATCCTTAGAGCCACTGCACTGTGTGGTGTAGTGAGTTATTTAATGTCTCTTTCAGTCACAGTCTTTAAAAACTTCCACAAAATGACATTTTCCTATTAGGTCTGAGTTAGAAGGTGGGGGAAGATGCTGATAGAGTACAAGGTTCACTTGCGAGTGATTGTGAGCAGGACTGTGATTGTAAACACCTGGAGATCTAATGCGGTGGGAGCTGGTCAATGTTACCATCCTGCTGAGTTTCACACAAGCCCTCTTAGAAGCAGGAGGTGGGCAGCTAGTATCATTAAAGAACCAGCAGTGGAACATGTCCTTTGGACCCAGCGATCCCTGCACATTGAACCTCCTCGACCTAGGGACAGAAAGCTGTGACACCTGAGGAGTGGCAGAAGAGCAACAGCAGCAGCAGAACCAAGAGCCAGAGCACACGACAGAGCGATTGAGCCAAGAAAAGCTGAGTGACTTTGAAGGGTAGGAAGCTTGCTTGCAGAGTGGGGTGCCTCAAGGTACTTAGTAGGGTGGAGCTAGGTTTGCTGATCCAGGGAGCTAGAGCCTTGTGATGGATTGGTGTGTTCTATGGATATTTATTAGCTTCCAGAAAAGAGCTTTGTAACATTGCCCAGACAGAGGCCTGCTGATGGGCAGGATGGTAACATTGACCAGCGCCCTCATTAGATTTCCAGGTGTTTACAATCACAATCCTGCTCACAGGCTGCCGAGAGGCTGTCTTGACTGGAAGAACGGTGCCCTGAACATTTCTGACCCTGAATTATAAAACCTGTTAACTTGCCTCCTAAGTCCCCTAACTGTGAGTTGGATGGTTGGTTGGTTATGTGCCGTGGAGTCGGTTCCGACTCATAGCGACCCTGTACAGGGTACAGGGTTTCCAAGGCTATAAATATGGGAGCAGAAAGCCTCATCTTTCTTCCATGGAACAGCTGGTAGTTTCAAACTGCTGACCTTGAGGTTCACAGCCCAATTCGTAACCACTACACTACCACAGCTCCTTATAACTGTGATTACTGTCTCCGAACTCTGTGTGGCCCCTGCCATGGATTCTCGCACCCAGTGGAGTAGAGTGTGCTGTGGGAGGGATGGTTGGTGCTACACTTCTGTCCACGCTGCTCGTTGATTATAGAAAAAAAGCAACGCAGGAACGCAGCATTCCCTTTCCTAGATAAATTCAACACAGCTTTATCAAACTCCCGCTGCACCATCACAGAAGACGAAACCCTCGAATAAATCTACTATAGTCCTGAGAAGAATACAAGTACAGAATTGGGTAGGTTTCAAAAATGAAGAACTGATAAAAGGCTACTACTATGGCTCAAAACAATGGGGGGAACTACCCTTCTTAAGAAAAGAGTGATCAGGAAGGGCTAAGAGAAGAGGTAGAACTTGTGGTGGGTGGGCAGCCCTGGTGGAGAGAGAATGATTTTACAGGGAGAGGTGGAGAGGAGGAGATGAAGCAGGAAGGGTAGTTGTTCCAAAAGAACACCAACAAGGTACAGAGCAAAGCTAGCTATTCCAGAGCAGAACTTTCAATACCAGTGGAAATGTTCTCCACCTCTGCTGTCTCCTAGAGCTGCTGCCAGCCACATGTGATTACTGACCTCTTGAAATCTGGCCACTCTGACAAAGGAATTGAGTTCCTAAGTTTATTTTTTATGTTTAAATAAGCAGGAGTAACTAGTGGAGCAACAAGTATAAAAGTGTAAAAGAATAACAGGTGGGGGCCATTGGGCCAGAATATTATAAAATATGGTGGAAAAGGCAGCCAGGGCTCCATTTATGGAGGTCTTGGATACTGAGGACTTTCTAGTTAATTTCGTAGGCAACGGGAAATCCGGCAGCTATTTTGTGCTGCGAATAAAATCACTAGTTAAGTGCTGTTGAGTCAGTTCCCTCTCCTAGTGATCCCATATATGGTTTCCAAGGAGAAGCTGGTAGGTTTGAACCACCGACCTTGTAGTTCACAGTCCAGTGCTTATCTTGCAGTACCACACCAGAAATGATTAGAACTGTGCTTTAAAATAAAGCCGCCAGCAATTGGTATTCAGTAGGTGTTCAGCTGGCACTGAAGTAGGAGGGCTGGATAAGAAGCTGTTGGAGTCAGCCAAGTGGGACGGACTTAGGGCCCAACCTAGCATGAGGATACAAGATAAACTGCTTCTGGACATGCGAATTTACGGCACTGGGAGCATACCCACAACAGGATGACAGAGGGGCTTCTGGAAACATTTAAAGCTCAGGAGAGAGATTCCGGTTACATCTACAGACAAGGAATCACTTATCCACACACAGGTAACAGGTGAAGTCACAGTAACAGATGAGAGAGCAAAGAGAAACATTTGACTCCAGAACTCCTTGAAGGACAAAAAGTCAGGGAAGGAGCGATACCAAGACACAGAAGGAAAACAATGACAATGTCATGGCAAGGCAATAAGGGAGACAAGAATTCCACGCATAAGACAGAGGCAAATGCTGTATTAAGATGGAGGGAAAAGAGGACAAACCACATAAAGACTGGTGACCCTCAGGGGAGTTCAGTGCAATGACATGAGCAAGCTTGACACTGCAAACAGTGATGACGGACAGGTCACAAAGAGAAGGCCAGACTCTCTCTTTCCACAAGGTCTAGTGGTATGTTAGGTAATCTAATGAGCTGAACAAAAGGATTACTAAGTAGCAGCAAAGGCCCAGCTGAGGCTGTTTAAACGTTTACGGAAACCAGGGAGTAACAGACACTATGATTTTAAAAAAATCTTGCTGGGACCCTTAACAGAAGCAGTGAGTGGACAACGGGGCTGCTGGAGTAAGGACTGGCAAGATGGGAAGAGGAGTGAGGGACGTGTGAGAGGTAAGTGAAATTGCTCACTCACGAGCTGGCCCTGGCTGGGCTGGTTGCAAACTAAGGCCAAGATGCTGGTACTAGATGAGAAGAATCAAGGGAGTTCAAGAGTCCATGCCAGCCCATGTAATAAGACTAGAATTTCAACTCCAAGCCTGATTTCTAACACTTAACTCAACCTCTTCACGGTGGGGTTTTTCTACACATTTTTTTTTTTTTTTTTTTTTTGCTGAAAAACAGGCAAGAAAATTCATAGATGCCAAATGCCTAGAGACGCTAACATCACAGGGGAAAGAAGGGAGAACACTCTGTACAAACTCATTTAGATGTGTTAGGCAGACTGCATTTAAAAGTGCCTTCAAACGCTAATATTCTGTGACCTTAACTCTAATGTTTGTGTGCTTCCACAAAGATTATCCCTATGAGGCAGATGAACTGTAGTCCTACAATGGCTATGACTTAAATGGTCCACTGCCAACAGGAAATACAAAGTGGGAGGAAAGGAAACCAGTAAAAAAGGAGTCGTACGTACTTCATTGGAAGGAGCTCTGGTAGCATAGTGGTCACGAATCGGGCTGAGAACCTTAAGGTAAG